GTTTAAAGCTTCTGTTGTTATTTGTCCCATTTTTCTTCTGAAGTTGAAGGCAATTTATAGATGTCATATAAACAGCAAAAAGAACTATTCCACATTGCATAATCAATTTTATTTTGATGTTATTAATTTTTTGATAGTTGATTTTAGTTGGTTAAGTATAGATATAAGATGATATTAACATGCATCTAATTAAAATAACAAGAAAAATTATAGAATGGAATGGCACTTGTGCTTAGACAGTGAATACATATAGTCAAGACCTTTCTTTGTCGTCAATATTTTGTTACGATCAATTCTATATACATCGAGAGATAAAAGAGGCATATCCTCGTACATACTCAACATTTCCATAGAGGGAGGGACAAACAAAGTTCATGACCATCTAGCATGATCCTACAAATAAGAGCCTATTCACCAAAACTATATTAGTGCCACATTGATGTTATCCCTTCCCTGCCTGTGGATTACAGCCCAATTCTTTGTTTATTGTGAGGTATGACAAAGTAATCTCCATATGGTTGCTTAATTTCAACACATTGCATATAAATTTGAAATCTGTCTTAAATTCAGCCTCACCTACAAATATTAGAACCCATTTTCGATGTAACTAACGTTGTATGTTAGCCAAAAGAAATTGAAAATTTGGCGGTAATAAGTCCCCTGCATTTAATTCTGTTGAAAAATACATCAGGGTTTGGTAGGAGCATAACTGTATATAATCCCAATAGGCATATTCTCAAGTTGAATCAGAAGAGAGGCAAGAACTAGCAGCAATGGTGGTTAAAGTGTACGGACCCGAATATGCTTCAAGTAAGCGTGTAATTGTTAGCCTTATTGAGAAAGAGATTGAATTCGATGTTGTTGATGTCGATGCCTTTGAGGGCGAAAACAAAAGCCCCGATTATCTCAAGTTGCAGGTATTCTTCTGTTATTTTTGTTCACTTTCTTCCCTGTGAAAATTGATAGGATTTACTCGTATCATCTTGCAAACTCTTGCAGCCTTCCGGGCTTCTTCCTGCCATATAAGAGGGAGACTACACTTTATTTGGTAAAAGTCTAATGCTACTATTGTTTGATACGCTCCACTGGATATGACATGATTAATGAAGAAAAATGAGTTAAAATCTTGACTTATTACAACCCAGTACTTCATATTTTGTGCAGAATCCGGAGCTATAATCAGGTACTATGCAGAAAAGTACAAGTCTCAAGGAACATAATTGTTTGGAAAGACAATGGAGGAGAAGGGCAAAGTAGAACAATGGTTAGAATTGGAAGAACACAATTTCAACCCTTCACTTAACACCTTAGTGATTCATACAGTTTTCAGCTCCAAACTGGGAATCACACCAGATCAGAAAGTCATTCAAGAAAACGAGGCAAACAGGGGAAAATTCTGGATATCTACGAGGAAAGGCTGTGGACGAAGAAATACCTAGCTGGAGATTTCTTCAGCTTGGCTGATCTTAGCCACCTCCAACTTGGTCATTACTTGCTAAATGGTGTTGGAAAGGAGTACATGATAAGGGACAGAAAACATGTGAGTGCATGGTGGGATGTTATCAGCAATAGGCCATCTTGGATGAAAGCTCTTCGACTCTTTCCTTATCCAAATTGAGTTGCATTAGTATGTGTTTAACTTGAGTGCTTCTGAGAATAAAAATTTCTGTGTTTCATCGACTTGTATCGGTGTTCATGTTTGTTGAAATCTGTTGTGGTTATATTTGAGTGTTTGGTTTGTGGGTTTGCTTGTGTACTTATTTATGTGCTGTTGAACTCTGTAATATGAAAACCAAAGCAGTGCTCAACTTATTGATGATTGCAATGTTCATTTCATTTCTTAGACTACATTTGAAGTTTTGAAAAAAAATGATAGATGCAAATTTAGTCACTGCCAGAATATAAAATCAAAGGTCAGGTCAGTGAACTGTAAAACGAAATTTTATAGCGAGTCATTGAATTGAACCTTTTTTTTTCTTCTTTCCAATTAGGCCAGTAAACTTAATATTTGTCATAATTGGATCACTCAATCTAGGTCCATAAATTTGATTAACGTAGAAGAAATTCCTTCAATTTATAAGAAAGAATATCATGGTTCCCAACAAGTACGCTTTTCAAAGACGAGAAGGACGAGCATGAAGCTAACTCTCAAAAGAAGGGACAGGGAACATCGCGTTTTACTTCATATCTATGATGCGACAATTCAATTGTTTCAATTTGCTGACATAAATTAAAATTTATGAGTTATTCCCTTTGTACGCAGGAATAATTCCTTTTTTTTCTTTGCCATCTTCCAATGTAAAATGACAAGTGTTCCTTGGCAGTTCCCTGACAGTGTTTTCCCTGTACAAATAGCACGGCTCAAAGTTCATTGCCCAATTAATTTTTTCCTAAAGTGAGGGGACAACATTGAGTTACCAACTTCCTCAGTCATTTTCTCATCCCCTAGCTATACCATGAACAGACTACCATCTATTGCAATGAAACAGATATGTCACCACTCACCATGCTTCATGTGCTATTTAGTTAAGATTGTCATAAACCACAACCATTCACATAAAATAAAAATAAAGCTATCTGTACATTTTATGACTGTATAGATAGTGTTACGATGCACATGTGCATGCATCTGTCGGCCAGTTTGAATTGCAAAAATTCAAACCAGTCGACATACGTGCATCTGTTAAGCTACATGTACAGTTTATCTGTACAAGTAGCACGATCCTAAAACAAATACCCTATTGATTTGTTGTTCACATGAGCTTGAGTACCCAATCAAAGATGATTTTGGGAAGCTTATAGAGTTAAAACCGAGTTTAGCTATTATTTTCACGTCCGTAATAGTGTGAAAATAGGAAATGGGCATATTACACAACAAAAAATTTGTATTATAGGATAGCACTTTATAGCTGAACATTCTTCAACGGTAGTTTTTTGGGTTTACATTATAGAATTCAGATATAATAACTTATCACAAGACATTAAGCTAGTAAAAGAACTAAAGCTGTAGTAAGACATACAAAAACATTAGGGGTTTCATTTTTCTGCAACATTATGAGAACTGTATCATTTCTTTCGGACATTGAATAGTGATGCAAATGCTGAAGAAACCAAATGAAAGTCAGGTAACTGCAATGAAGAACAATTAACATGAGCATTAACGATGCTGTTGAAGATCAAATGAGTACAGTAACATGCAAAGAAGTCTTTGGTTCCAGTCTCTCCAACACCTATTTATGAAAATTATGCACATGCTGCAAATATAACCCAATCTGCGTGAGATGACATGTTCAAAAATAGGGGCCAATTTGGCAGAGCTTCTACTTTTTGTAGAATTTCCTAAAAAAAGCCACTTTGGGCTAACTCCCACTAAAAGCTCTTATAACCACACAAAATAATAATAATAATAATAACAGAAAATTATCCAAATAGATTAAAAAGTAGCTTCTTAGTCCCAAAAGTAGCTTTTGGTTTTGCAAAAGCTCTTCCAAACGGGCCCTAAACTTATATGAAGATATTTTTCCTCTTTCTAATGACTTAAGCTTTTGAATGAGGTGATAAATGATAAATTATAAAGAGTTAAGTTTTGAAGAAGGCATAATTCTCGCCATACCTCTCATTTATGATTGAAACATCTCGTCTAACCTTTGTCTGTATTGGGCCAATCTCTGCAATTGTAAATTGAAAAGGGGGAAAAAAAAAGAGAGAGAGAGATCATAATTCACACACAAACACAATAATAGAAATAATGAAGGTACTTCGACATAAATAAGTGAAAGGAAGTAGCTAGTTCTCTCCATGGTGTGGGTAGCTTTTGCATTATTCAATAATTCAAAGGCTCTTGACGTTCAGAAAAGAAACAAAAATCAACATGATAAGGAAACTCATACACCAAGCTATCACAATAAACCAAGGAAATTCACTTTTCCAAGTATTCAACATAAGATAGCTAGAATAAGAGACTTTGATAAAGAACTTTTGCAGGTAATAACATGGTCACTAATGTTCTCCCTTAAACAATCTAGCATCAGTCTAACTAAGTTGACTGAGTAATGACAGGGCCTCTTAATCAGACACAATTTTAGAACTTCCATTGCATGACATTTTGTTCATGGAAAAAACTATATGTGGTTTGGTTCAATCATGAATCATTATAGAGATTGAATTGGGGTCAAAATCAAAATAGATGTTTTACCATCATATGAGGGCTTAGGAAATGCATAATTTACTTCATTTGTTTTATTTCCATAAATATAAGCAAAACTTTGAAAGGATAAATAAAGGGATTACACGTGTTAATATTTATTTAAATGATTTCTCAGTTGAATGAATAACACAGATACCTCTTAGCAGAAGCAACAGAGAGTTTACCAACAACTATCTAACTTCAAGGCCAAAATAGTATTTACACAATTCACCAGGGGAATCACAAGTCTGATTATCTTGGCATTGGAACGGGGGAAAAAAAAAAACCCACCTTGTTCCGTTCAATCACGAATAGTTACACAAATAATTGGTTCAAATTGGAGTCAGTCAAAATCATCTAAAATTTATTGTTCTACATTAAGATTCAAATGCATACTTTTCCTTTTCTTTTCATTTAAACAAATACATAATTTGGCTACCTAATCGACATAGCATTATATATAATCTATGATGCACCGACACGGACATGTGTGTCCGACACGATACGTGTCAGATACTCCGACACGCGATTTTTAAAAAAAGTACAGACACGACACGTCATCGACGTTGATTAAATTTTTAAAAATTCTTCATTTATATAGTAAAAATTTAGTTTTATACTTGTTAATTTTTCTTATTTAAATCTTTTAAACATGAGTACCACAGAGAAGTATCGGTATCGACTCGCGTCGGACACGGACACGCTACCCTAATTGAAGTGTCCGTGCTACAGAGTATATAATTCTTCAAGAGGATAAATAAGGAAAATGAACTTTACTAAACTTGTTCGGTTGTTCCCAATTAGGCAAATCAACTGATACTGAGTTTTTAGATAAAATTTTCAACTCAAACCAAGTAGAGGACATGAAGAGACATTGTATCTTTAAAGCTTACTTCAGATATATGAAGTTTACTTAACTCAATACTGGTAGAGAGTAGAGACAAGTGAACTTTGGTTCACCGTTTAAGTGTAGAATTAACGCAGCCCCCCATTCACACCTCTCAACCGGAGTAGAGTTCACCAAGAGATTAAAAGCATCAAATTCGAAGGTAATCCGACAGATAAGTGACAAATGTATGAAGGAGGACTGGATGAGCTTGAGACTGAAGGAGCATGTTATCTGACAGAAAGGTTTTCGATTCTCTTAATCTTACTATTGTTTTAGTTAATGAAACTTCCATGTGGAACAAACTTGTGCAAAATAAAGCTCAGTACTGAAAAATTCAGGATGAGCTCACTAAGAGTTTTAAAACATCAAATTCAAAGGTAAACCTTGGTTTGTGTAGAAAACTGAACTGAGTTCAAATTCATACATGAACCAGATCTCTCAGGATTGAGTTCACTAAGAGTTTGAAAGCAAAATCGAAGGTAAACCTTGGTCAGCATAGAAAACTGAACTGAGTTCAATTCATATATGGACCAAATTCAGATTGTAGATCTCTATTTCATATAAACAAATACCCTATATCTCCTACAACAGAAGCCTGATTCTCAAAATTATAAAGCAAAATAAGCATTTTGATTGGCACATAAATGCAGGTTTTACAGCATCAAAAGATAGATTAGAATTTCAATTTCTCTCAATTAACATATAGGAAAAATGCCAGAGATAGTCATATAATAGAAGGTGAAAATGCAGAATTTCTAGAAGCAAATCAATAACAAGGACATTTAAGAAGAAACAATGATGATAAACATCAAATGCCTTTTCATCATCATCTCGTGTTCTCATCATGACAGCATTGAAAATCATCTACATCTAGTAACATACTGGTGCATATCCCTTTGTGTATGACATGGAAAAAGCTGCATACCTTAGTATAAGCATAAACACCCGCTTCGGTTGGTGCAACTGGACTACCTCGACGAATGAATTGTCCCTCTTTTAAAATGTAAAGCATTGGTATCCCAGTTGATAGTTCCAAGCTAATAACCTGATAAAAGGTACAACCTTTTATGTTCTAAGCAAAGAGGTGAAAAGCAGTAGAGCGTGCTTCATTAAGCTTATAAGTTTTACTTATAAGTGAACTTACTTATGAGTAAATAAGTAAGTCTTAAAGTAAATAATAGTTTTTATTGGTTAAAGTTGGAAATAAGTTACTTATTTTGACAATAAAGTAAGAATTACTTTCAAAAGATATAACTTCTTTTACTTAAAAAAGTTAAAAAAAATATAAAAAAAAGTAACATATCCAAACATGTTTAGAAAGAAAAAGTTTCTTTAAAGTAACTTTGAATTATTTTAAAGCTTAGCCAAACATGCTCAGAATCCACTAGCATGAAATCCCACCTCTTGAGAAGTGAGTTTATCCAGATACATAATGATAGACCTCAACGAGTTCCCATGGGCAGCAATCATTACGTTTTTCCCACGCTGAAGTTGGAGTTCTATCTGTTTCACCAAACATTGATTATGAGGACCATGAATAAGC